TACCAGCATTACACTCACCACCAGATGCTGATGTAGCGGTCAATGTCATAGACTTGATCCATGGGGTTTGGAGATAATGCAGAGATGAGGGCAGTCATAAATATGATAGTGAGTCCACTCTAAAACCTCAGGAGGACCGCCTTCTTGAAGTGCTGATCTCCTGCTGAAGTGGAGCATCTATTATCAAAGCTGTAGAAAGTGACCTGAATCTCCACCGGAGAAACCTTGGGAAGGTGAAGAACCTTTATCCTGGTGGAGGGCTGTGTATAAGGTGGAGAAGGTGGTGCAGACACAGCTGCACAAGCCCTGCGACACTGATGCACAGAAGGCCCCAGGCCTAATTTGACGCCTCCAGTGCACATCATGACTCTGAATCAAAATGGACAGCATGTAGAAAGGTCAGACCTGAGTTCAGATACTCTGACATGTTGCCAGGTCAAGTGAGCGTCTCCAGTTTTGATACCTTATTCAAATTATTTTCTTTTCAAGTGTGAAATACAGTAGCCTATTTAGTTTTCACAATGTTATGAAAAATCATTGCCTTACTTTTCTGAAAAGGAAATTGAGACCCTGAAAATCCAAGTAATTTGTTCAAGGCCACAACTAGCCAGGACCACAATTCAGGTCTACAGCTTGTCAGTGAAGTCAGTACCCTTTCTTCTCCCACTACCCCACCTTCCCAAGGGGACCTGAGAAAGGGAACAGTTTACTCTGTCTGCTTTATGTTGTGACAGGAGCTAGAAACACCTGGTCCTGCCCTGGCATACAATAAATGGTGTCATTTGGCTTGATGAAGTGGTTGCCTTCTCCCTTCATGCTCACTCTGGCACCAAATGGATGAATGCCTGGAGATACAGAACCTGCAGGTCTATGAGCCCCCACTCCCCAAGCTGTCACTGAGCACAGCACAAGTTCGTTAAACCTGGATTATTTAATGATAGTTAATAAGATAAAATTCCTCCCAGAAGCCAACAGGAATTGATACTGTCATCTCTTAACTGGTACTCAGGAGCTGATGAGGCACTTTCTGCCACCAGAGAGAGTCTTTAAGGCTCTTAACAATAATGTGTCCACAAGCTTCCCTGAAAAGGGTGATGTAAACACGTGATTTCTTTTTTTTTCTCTGCTTTATTTTTTTTAATTTATTTTATTTTATTATTCATATGTGCATACAAGGCTTGGGTCATTTCTCCCCCCTGCCCCCACCCCCTCCCTTACCACCCACTCCGCCCCCTCCCTCTCCCCCCTACCCCCTCAATACCCAGCAGAAACTATTTTGCCCTTATCTCTAATTTTGTTGTAGAGAGAGTATAAGCCATAACAGGAAGGAACAAGGGTTTTTGCTGGTTGAGATAAGGATAGCTATACAGGGAGTTGACTCACATTAATTTCCCGTGCGTGTGTGTTACCTTCTAGGTTAATTCTTCTTGAACTAACCTTTTCTCTAGTTCCTGGTCCCCCTCTCCTATTGCTGTCAGCCACTTTAAAGTATCTGCTTTAGTTTCTCTGCGTTAAGGGCAACAAATGCTAGCTAATTTTTTAGGTGTCTTACCTATCCTCACCCCTCCCTTGTGTGCTCTCGCTTTCATCATGTGCTCAAAGTCCAATCCCATTGTTGAAACACGTGATTTCTAAACACAAGTTAACCCCCACATCCACGTGAAGCATACCATATGCAGCTAGAGAGCTTAGGCCTGTGACTGGAAAAAGGGTCGCTATCCCAAAATTGTCCTCAGGACCCACACCCTCGGTCCACCTAGGCTCAGATACAGGTGACATTTTCAGAGTCGGAACACAAAGTCCAAGTCCCTCTGACAACAGGTATTTCAGGAAGGACCTAATTTCTTATGACAGTTTGTGGAGAGGAAAAGGCTGCAATATCAGATATGGAGAATATTTAACTTTGAGGAACTCATTTTCAACAACTTGAGAAGTCTTTCCTGGGAATAGAATGCAGTTTGTGGGCCTGAGCACAGCAGTCCCCAGCTGCAAGTCTGAGTTGCTCTGACCTGGACTTCTAATCTGCCTTACACTTCCTTGAGTCCCAGAAGTGAGCCCTGAACCAGAGTACCTGACAGCGGCAGCTGGACCAAGTGTGTGTGGCAGACCATGTCTGGGCTGGGACATGAGAGGAGGCATCAAATACACATTCCTTGCCAAAAACTGTCTCCTTAGCCCTAATGAACCTAATAAAAACAAAAAGAAGAAAAAAGAACCAATCAAAGTCCCTGGCTACTAGGATGAATATAAACATACATTATTATCTAACTAATTACATTAATATTAACTTTAAAGTTACCTGCTATAGTGTTTGTATTAACAGCAATATTTCTCATAGTGGGGATTGAATCTAGCAAAATCCATTAACTAGTGACTGTGCCACAGTTATGTGGGCTGCTATGCATTATGACACAAGCAAGTCTGAAGAAAAGGAGCTATGATCTTGAGATCCAGTTGCTGGCCTATGTGATTTTGTGCTTTTAACTAGTCAGAAATGTGGGTGTTCAAGTGAGAAGCCCTGTGCTAATCACCAGGGCAAGACTGATAGTAAAAGAAAAGACCAACATATGAATAAAACATAGAAATACTCCAATGCACTGAAATACAGTGCTTTGCTTTCATTATATACACTTATTGTTTTATTTGTTTCCTAAACTTTAACTCCTGTAGAAATAAATAGCATTGCTGTCACAGGTCTCAAATTATCTAGTAATCTTTTCTTTGAAAACTGGCATTTAAATTGGATTTTTGATAATGCAAGGCTTCTAAGCAATGCGGCCATTACATAAGAGCAGAACAGACCACAAATGCACTGTCCCTAGACAGTATGTAGAAACGTATAAAGTATCCTTACACTGGCTAATGGAGAAGGGAAAAAGCAATGTCTGTGCAGTGGAAAGTAACAGACTTCACACATACATGCACTGCTGTCTCTGTCCAATTGGAAAGTGATGCCCAGTTTATGCAGAAGCCACATCTTCTTAATGGGACACCTTTTTTAATCTATGCTCATTCTCACTTCTACGTGGCAGTGGTTAGCATTGGGCTCAGTTTGTATTTCTGAGCATATACTTACTGCAGGTCAACATTTAGGGACAACATAGAAGTGTGCAGATAGTCAGAGACCGAGATGACACCACATGAGACCTCAGAGAGTCCTCTGGTGGAATAATGAACTTATCATGAGTAAACATTAGGAAATGCACACTTTGCTTTTTGGGGGGTGAAAAAAATAATTGAGCACAAAAAAGACTCATAGTATCTTGTCCTTCAAGCCTGAGTTAAAACCCTCCCTTTCTTATGAGGAGATCTGACATTCTTCCAAAAGACAGAAGTGTTCCTCCTCTAGTATTTCCCTTGCACTCACATAGCTCCGTCAAAGCACTTACCTTCATGTGGAGTGTGCATGACTTTGCACATTGGTGTCACTGCCTGTCATCTCTGTATGCCCAGACCTGTCACTTCATTGAACTTGAGCGATTACTTTATGGAATTAATATTTTTCAATTTTTTTTGAGTGAATTAGACAAATTACTTTTTGCTGAATTAACATACCTAAAGTTCTTTAAAAACTTTGAAGTTTGAAACCCTCTTGAAGTGGGTCATGAGATGGTCAAACAGCTGTTTTGAGTTCCATGAATATTGATGAAGATATGATAGGAATAAAGATTTGAGGGGAAGAAAATTAGAAGATATATTTCAGGGCACTTGGGTCTTGTAGAACCATCTGTAGAGATTGTTGTAAATTTTCAGTTAAACTGCCTTCATCTTCTAAGACTTTGAAAGCTGGGTCAGTGCCAAGAGTGCCTTTTACAACTGAGTTATGAACCAGTGGAAAATAGGATTTATGAATTCTGAGTTGCTAGTGCTACTTATATTGCTTCTTCTGAGGATTACAGTTCTTAAAATGTTTGCGTGTAGTTAGCATTACATTTCTGCTTTTTCCTGGACAAAGAAATGACAGTGTGATGGGACAATGTGTCTAATGAAGAAATAGCTATCATGAAGGAGAGCTTGATAGTGGGCCAGCTCTTGCCAAGAAAGGAAGACACTGAAGTCCAATGTGTTCTCGGTTCACAGGGAAGGGGCACCCCCTTAGACCTCTACTAACCCATTTAGGCAATTACCATTTCAGTTGTAGGTTATTTTTAATTTGAATGTCCCTTTCTATAGTACTTTTACCACTTAAACTCTTGCCAGGCCGAAAGGAGTCCAATTACTCTTGAAATACCCAGGACGTTTGAAGAGAATGCTTCCTTAGTGAACCCATATCTGCCCTCAAAACAGTTTTGACCTAACTTACTTGGGTCCTGAATTCTGCTTTAATCAGCTAATCTGCTTCCAAGGATTTCCCTGTGAAAGATTAACCTTTCATCCTGCTGCGCATCAGAAGTTACAAAGGAAACCTGCCTTTGCCAAGGATAATTCTACAATTTTTAATAGCTGGTTGGGCACTCTTGCAGTTAATCAATAAAATAGCATGTAGCAGAAGGGATTAGGAAACCATGTGAGTTGTACTTTCACAATTTAGAATTATAGCAAATACTTCTCTTTAGAAACATCTCCCCCGTCCGTCCCCGACTCTCTGAAATCAACAGCTAACATCTGCAGTCTACCATCAGTATCTTCAGGGCAGAGATGGATGGTAGAAGAAATGCAATTCCAAGCAATGCTTGCATCCAAGATGCAGGAACCCCACTCCAATAAATACTGCAGAGCCTTTGCATGGTGCTCTTTCTTAAGCTGAAGTTGGTCCAAGTGTGACTTTAGCCTAAAGGAGGCATTTTCAGCCTGGCCGTGAACCTTTGGCAGATGTAGAGGTGCATGATGGGCACCCATGCAGGTGAAGCCCATTTGAAGGTCTCTGCTACTGGGGGTGGGGGCTCTTTGTTACTCAGTTCAGAGCTTGGAGATGCCAGCTCCTGAAACGTTCCTGGGCTCCTTGAAATGCAGGATGAATCCCTTTGTGTGCTGATCATGTTTGTTCCCCTTTATCACAGGAGGACTATGCCCAAGGGCTAACAATCCCTGTTTGGAGAAGCCATGTCCATGGGATATGCAATGTGTCGGTTATGAAGCCAGCAGGAGACCATTCCTCTGCCAGTGTCCACCAGCGAAGCTCGGAGAGTGCTCAGGTGTAGAGTTGCATGGAATGATGAGGGTCTACTTCTTATTCCTGAAACACTTACCCTGGAGTAGATTACACTGCCCAGGCCCTTCCAAAAGACACTTGTGTGTGCATGCCACACTTTTCTTCAACTGTGCCAACTCAGCTAACACTCACCCTCATGTTTACTGGGGACTTGTCACAGCTGTAGCCTGTGCTACATGTAAACATTGGGCTCCATATATAAAAGGGAGGCCATAATATGTGTTCTCAATTGTGTCACATGGTGGCTAAGAGTATGAAATTATGGGAGTCAGTATCTGTGGCAAGGCCCTGATGATCAGGAGACTCTACAAATCCGTGGCCACAAAGCAGGGATCAACAGAAGGTAGAGCTGAGCCAATCCTGTGGACTTCACATACAGTAAACTCAGTCCAGGACTGGAGGCATGGCTCCAGTGGTAGAGAGCTTGCCTAGCAAGCTCAAGGTACTGAGTTCAAACAAACCCCAGTAAAAAAAATAAGTCCAAAGCACCAAAAAAGCCAGCTCTCCATTAGAAATGTACAACTAACTGAATGTTCTAGAAAGATGTGCCCATCGCTGCATTGTAAAGGAAAAATATCAGGATTTAGGTTATTTAAATTCAGATTATCCTCTATTTCTGATATTCACTCAGTTTCAATACTTCTTTTAATTGGCATATTCTGTACCCCTTGTTTCCTATAAAAAGCGTATTGTTCATTTTTGTGCCAATAGAATCCTCTTTTTGTGACAGGGCACATTTAAAATACAAGACTACTGATACAAATTTTGGAATCCAAGAAATATTCATTAGGTAATGATAATAATAGTAATTATAGTAAGAATAAAAAATAATTATGCCTAGTATATACAAGAAACTTTGCTAAGCATTGGGTTTTAGAAATTCAGTCTTTGCAAAGAGAAGTACTTTTCTTAAAAATGGAAGCCAAACTCTTTCACGACTGATGTCAAGAATGGAGTGTCCACGAGGCAAAGAGCCAACCAAGGTGCTTGCCTACGTCATCTAAGGTGTAAGCTCAGGAGAAAACTGTGCTGCCCACCCCAACATGTGCCATGCACACAGCGGATGGACATGCAGGTAACCATAAAGCCAAGTCCTGTGACTTCTGGTGTCGCTTTTTGCCAGTCCTCTCTTTCCTTTCTACACAGAAAACTTTCAGTTGTCCAGGATTGTCATCCATTTGGTTTACTTCCACACATTCTACCTTTTACCCCAGCAAGGCCATTACTTTGCCTGTTGAAACATGGAGTTGGAGGCAATTAAAAAAATGTTCAACTCAGAAAAGAACAGTGTGGGTTGAACTAAAGATTCTGGGAAGGAAACCTTCATCAGTGGCCAGAAAATGGAATTGCGACTGCATGAGGGTTTCTTTTGTCAGTTTCCTTTTCTAAACATTAATGAAAATGACCTAAGTTGGCTAGTTGATGTTAGGATACTTGAGGAATATAAATATTATTTGAAAACAGTTTCATTGTCTTTCCTTTGTTTCAGGAATTGGGGAAGGCAAGAAGGGATCTTTTTAAAATATTAGCTTGAGAAAGTGGAAGTTGAGAACCTATGAGACTAAGAAAAACTTTGAAGTTAAGAACATGACCTGAAACAGAGAAAAGGTTTTTAATCGAAACAGATTTCTCATCAATGCCTTCTCTATCTTCCCGTGGTGATAGTTGAGTGACTTCATGTGTCCCTGCTCATTTCTAGATGCTAAAAGAACATATATCTTCTTGCAATGTCTTCCCAGGGCACACTTCTCTCAGCTTTGCTGGAAACAGTTACATCAAATACCGGCTTTCAGAAAACAGCAAAGAAGAAGACCTGAAGCTAGCTCTGCGCCTGAGAACCCTGCAAAGCAATGGGATTGTAATGTACACCTGAGCAAAGCCCTGCATGATTCTGAAGGTGCATAAAACCGCCTGACTTTTCTGAAGCCGGTTCTCATGTGAATGTATTGGCTCTTGAACTAGGGACTACAGAAATTGTTTTTTCTTTGGGACTTAGAAGACCAGAGTAGAATTCAGGACAAAGGGGATAGCTGCTGCGGAAGCAGATGTAGGCCAGCATCACATTTCCTCTTGACACTGGGGCACCTCCCTGTAGAGTGGATTCCAGGACTGGGCTCCTGTGAGCTGTAATCACTCACCAGTTCATTATGATGTATCTCCTAATCCACAGGGTGGTACTTTAACGGGATTGACCAAATTCTCTTCCACTGCACGGCTCTATCCTCACTTACCTCTGAGGTGAATCTGTTCTTGCTCAGAGGATAAGTTTGGAGCTGCCACATATCCCATCATGACCTAAATAGCCCAATTACCCTGCCTCAGAACCCCTACTGAGGCACACAGATTTCTCTTAGAGCAAATCTGGCATCTGTATGCAGCTTGGGGCGTCTAGTGCCTTCATGAAAACAATATTGTTGGGCACCAGTGGCTCACTCCTGTAATCCTAACTACTCAGGAGGCAGAGATCTGGAGGACTGCAGTTCAAAGCCAGCCACAGCAAAAAGTTCCTTGAGATCCAGTCTTGAAAAAATCCTTCACAAAAAAGGGCTAGTAGAGTGGCTCAAGGTATAGGCCCTGAATTCAAACCCCAGTACCTCCAAAAAACCCCACAATATTAATTACAGCCTTATTTACATCTTTATTTTAAGTTTAATGTAGCAAGGTTTTCATTTGACCAAGAAGAGGACAGCAAGCCAGGGTGGTGGCTTACACCTATATTCTAGCTACTCTGAGGGTGGAAGCAGGAGGACCGCCAAGTTGAAGACCAGTCCCAGCAAAGGTGGCAAGACCCTATCTCAAAACAAAATAAACACAAAGGGCTGGGGGCATTGCTCAAGTGGTAGGGCATTTGCTAGGTAACTGGGAGGCCTAGGGTTCAATCCCCAATAAATAGCTCAGAGAGTTTAAGTTACTTACCCACCGTTGCACAACAAATAAGGGCAAGATCTGGACCCACGCTCCAGTGACTCCAACTCCATGCTCTTAAGGTCCGTGCTATCTTCAGTTCTCCACCTTGCCCCAACTCGCTCTGTCAGAAACCACATTCAAGCTATTGATGGGCCAGATTCAACCTGCCTGGAGAGGAATGAGGGTTGCTATTATACCCTACTATAAGTAAGTGCTCTCCAAAACCTTCAGAGCCAGAGACTTCCCAGTAGAAATTCTGGAAATCTTTTTCCACCCAAGACTTGGTCTTAACTAGGATCATGGTGGCCCATTTTAGCTTCTGTCCTCTGGTTTGATATATCACGTCCAAGTTGACCAGTGGCTCAGGCTTTAATCCTGAAAGCAGCTAAGGAAGGAGGGAAACATGGAGAACATGACATGGCAGTGACTTCTTTTCACTACTGTACAGACTTGAACCTACCCACTTCTGGTACTGCCAGGTCTTGCTTGGTGGCCAGAGTGAGTGAGCAGAGAGTCAGAGTCTAAAAGGTGGTAAATTTTATGGAGAATCTCCCATTACTCTTATTCATTTGGCTTAGAGAATAATTTTAGCTGAGAAGTGGAAAGCAATGTTTTTAAAAGAAGTTAGGAGAAGCACTGTGGATGCATGGTTTTAGAGAACAGTGGACTCCTATCAGATGTTCGAGGTGCAAGAGAAGTTCAAAACCATAAGTCCTGTTTTTATTTCCTGCCATCCTGGAAGCAGCCTGCCTCGGGTGAGAAGATTTCTCAGCTGCCTGATGAGGTAGCGTTTGTGTTGTTCAGAGATACTGGCTGCTCCTGGCTCTGCCTGGGTCACACTGGTCTCCCCTCTGCTCCTTCAAGCTCTAACACATCCTTGTGACTTGTTGTCAGCAAATCTCTATGGAGCATTGAATTTGAAAGAGGACAAAATATTAGACCTGACTGGCTTGATTCTAAAATGGAGCACGTCATTTGACACTTCACAGGCAAATGTCTAAAATGTACAGATCCCTGGGGGTAGAAAAAAAGAATAATTAAACCTTTTAGGCAGCTCTGACTCCTAAGGTAGATTATATTTCATGAAACAAGTGTGTTTCTGAAAATTGTATAAATTGAATCTCTGTAAATGGAATTCTAATAAGCTAGGATAGCTGCTATTTGGAGGAACTCTTCCATTAATCTCTCTGATGTGAATCGTCACCTCACTCCCACTTTGTCTGTTCTCTAAGTTTGCTTTTCATATGTTGAGTTTGCCCAAAGCAGGACCCAGCTGTACTGAACTATGACAGATACTCTCCTACAGTCGCCAGCAATATCCACTTAGGGGATTTGAATCTGTTTGCTTAACATTTGCAGCCTCATGCAAGACTGAATTTCATTGGCTGTAGGTACAGTATATCCCTTGTACTTTGGTTCAACAACTAAGCGGCAATGCATTGTTTAAATTGTGCCTCTTGGTTATTTGTATTTTAACAGTCATAGCACATTCTCTAAAAAAGTACTTCAGACCATCCATAGAATGAAGGGTGTCACAGAATTGCATGGAGACCTCAAGAAATGAAACTCCTCACAGATAGAAGTACCACTGTCTCCCAGCAGTGATAAGCACTCATTCTCCTCTCTACATTAATACCCTGTCTTCCAAAAGAAATTTGAGGCTTTCCATAAACACTGAGATGCAATAAAGTCAAGGCACCATCAAGATAAAAATAAAAGTTGAAGGGCCAACCAATGAACTAGAGAAGGGTAAATATCATTATTTAAAAATCCAGGTCAAGGGGAATGACTTCCATTGAGCCCAATTATAACTGAGTTTCCTGGCAGCCAAAGCAACAGTGTGAACAGTGGATGTGACACCCATCAGACCTATGAAAGAAACAAGCCAGGTCACCAGAGGAGATGAGAGATTGTTAGGACAGCAAACTTTTTCTTTATGTCAGCCTTTTGGCTCCACTATGGCAAAAACATAAGACGATCTTTCTCTAGAAATATCAAGTGCTTTATCTTTTAAGAAAGTGTCAGATAATAGCCATGTATTCTGATGATTCTCAGACATGGCTAGCTTGAGACCGCAAGTTAAAAGAAAGATAGGACAAGTTCATGAGGTTTATAAAACAGTGCACTTGGTATGGCCAGACCTTCCCAACATAGACCAAGGAAGCTTCTCATAAGATTTCAGTTTCAGGGGTCTATGTAAGAATGTCACTGAAAAACAGGCTAACTTAAAATAATGACAAATTTTGTAGTAATAATAAAATGCCCAGCAGTTTACAAACTTTCATGTAGATATATTTTTGATTGTCCCATTCTTGTAGGTATGAGTACATTGGCCTGTGAGGACACTGACATCAAGAGATTTGCTGACTTGCTCAAAGTGTGTCTAGTCTGGGTATGCAACAGAGGCACGCAGGTTGGCATATCACAGGAGTTTATCAGAAGGAGAGATTCAGAGGCTGCGATGATCATTCATCTATCAATTTATTCATTCAAACGTATTTTGAGCACTTTCTCTGTGCCAGATAGCTCTTAATGGCAGCTTTGAAAACAGGCTTCTAAAAAGTGTCCTTTCAAAGAACGTTTAATAACCCCTTACAAGGTCCACGATTATGCTTCATTTGCTAAGCCACACACCAAGGATCTAAAGCAGTAAGACTTTGTGCCAGAATTTACATTTTTTACTCAAAATCCTACTTTCCTACAATAATAACTCTTTGCAGTTCTGATCTGCTTGTCTCCCAAGCTCCAAGCCACTGAAAATCTGGGGTAAAGCTCATCATTGATTTCAAACAACCCTGAGGATCTAAATATTTTATAACATTAGGGCAACACTCTGAATTATGCATGTCATTGAACAAATGATCTAGCTGAAACCCAGGCAGCACCTCATTTCAGTGTCATTGCTACCGACTTTTCCTACATCTTCCTGCACACCTCAATTTCTATTAAGATACCTTGCCCTCTGATTTGAGAGAGCGTCATCCTTTGAAAAGAAAAACTAGGTAGATCCTATTTTGAAGACAGGAAAATGAAGTATGATCAGAGTCTATTTTTCCAATGTGATAACACTTAAATATGAAAAGAGCAAAGTGTTCTTTTCTCTCTCTGCCATGATATACCTGTGAAGTAGCTAAGACTATTAACTTTTCACAAGACAACTTGGCACCAACATTCTAGTTTGTCATAGAAACAAAGCCGATAATTCCAAACTCCTAGAATTGTAAAGATCCAAATGGTTTTGGTTTGTACAAAAGTGAGAATTGGGTCTGAGGTGTAGATCATGGTAGACAATCTCCAGCAATGCAAGAAAACAAAAAATAAGCAAACAAACAAAAAGGTGAGAATTATGTGGAATTTGGGTTCTTTGATTTAGCAATGTTGCTGCTATTGTTTTTCAACAGAAAGAAAGAGGACTTAGGTTGTGCTCAGTGTTCCTACAGATCTTTTCATTTTCTTGTTACAGACACTCCACGTGTGAGCACATCAGTCATATCATTTCTTGGTTATTATTCAAAGAGGCAGGGGTAGGAATGGGGAAGGAAATGGACCAAATAATATAGCAACTGAACATCCTATTACAAAAGCTTACATGAATTGCACCCTTACCACCAGATTTTCCTTAATAGACTGAGGACTACATTTTGTAGCCACAGGGCAAAAGAGCAGATGGATTTTGGCAGAAAAAGATAGTCTCCAAAATTGCATTTCATCGTTTTTTTACTTACATAGAAGTACAAATATAGATATCACTGAGAAAGTATTCTGGTATGATTGACAATACCCCTTCAGTCTATTTTGTTGAACCAAACAGACTGGCAAAGGCAATTGCATAAGATTAGAAGTGAAAGTCCTCTGAAGTGGAATATTTGCTTCAGACATTTGTATGCAGCGTGGAGAATGATGGATAGTATATGGTGTGGCCACCCATTCTGCAGCAGGCCCAGAATCCTTGCAAAACGAGCCATACAAAAGTTCTCTAAACCCTGCTCTCTAAACCCAAACCCAGGGAGGCCAGTTCCATTGTCAACAGTGACCTGGGTGGTAACTGACAGACCATGAATTAGATTCTTCATTCCTAAATTCCCAGAGCTTTGCCTAGTTCATGAAGCCCCTGCTTTTTGTGAGACATATGCATATGAGAGAATCCATAAGTCACAAAGGCAGAAGTGAGAGTCCTTACGAATGATTTGATTTTGGAACTTGCTGAAACAGAGAAATACTCTATTTGTGAAAAATGATTAGTGTTGTGACAACTGCTAATTCTATCATGAGTAAAACGCGTTTTGCAAAGACTGTTTGAGCCTATTTCTAGGAATTCATTTTATGTTTGTATCTCATTAGCTGTTAGTGACCTAGAAGGTCAGTGTTGCCCTGTTATTTCCTTTCCTTTGCTTTTTCTTTTCTTCTCTGGACAAGTGTCTGTGCTCTGCACAGAAATACAAATGCCAGCGGACCTCAGTGACAGCCAGTCCCTCTTTCACTCCAACGCTGGTCTCCACAGGATCATTTTGCTGGGTCAGAGACGTAGGCCAGTAAAGAAACTTTTGTCTCACAGTTTCTGACTGTGAATCCTTTCGTGCCCAAATATAAACTTGGCTAGACAGGGGTCCAGCCTTTATTCCCATGATCCTAAAGCCACCTAACATTTCTGAGAAATGCACACAGGAGTGGATGACAGAGGAGTCAAAGGCCAGCCTATCTCCATGGAAGAATCCCCAGTGTCCTTCAGCAGCAGGGTTTTTCTCTCCCATGTCATATCTCCTGGGGTTAGCTTCTTGGGGGAACTAGATTCCTCCCCTACATAAGTGCAAGCAAGCAAGCAAGAGGGTCTCCATCATACCCACCCAGACCAGGGACGGCAAGTACTCCTAGGTGTGAGCAGCTAACCAGAAGATGCTTGTGGAGGGACAGATGTTTTAAACATACATATCGCCTAAGCAAATAGCCAAGCCTGAGCCCTTTGTGAGACATCTTTTATCTAAATGATGAGCAGTTTGCCAAAGGACAGGTTTGAGAATCACACCAGTGTTTAATATAAAACCGTTTTTAAATCTAAAATGTATACAAAGCTGGGAACTAGGAAATCTTTATTTCTACCTTGCCTCTTTCTCTCCATGCAGTACCTGTTCGTGATCTTATTTGGAAAATGTATAGGTTGTCATGTGATTCTTTAACAGAAGCCTCAGGAGAGTAGAGAGAACTCTTTTTGCTCACCGTGTCTCCTCAGCACACTGTCCAACACATGGCAGATGTCCAATAAAAATGAGTTCACAGACTCATTCTGCGGCAGAGATGACTAGAGGGAGTACAGAGAAAACATGCACCTCTGAACAACATATTACTGTGAATGTTTAAAGGGTAAAGATCCAAAGAGTAGCAATGTTCTTAAATACAACTGTGTTCATATCACAAATTACAGGAAGATCCGTGAATCATCAGACATGAATTTTCATGGCAGGTAATGGAGGGGGCTGGTTGTGAAAAATCAAACTGCGGCAGATGTAAGCCTGGGTCAAAATCCGGGGCCGACGAGAATCAGGGTGTGGAGCACGTATGGCCAGATGCACATGTCAAAGGCCCCGGTATTTATCCCTCCCTCCCTCCCTCCTTCTTCCTTCCTTCTTTCCTTCCTTCCTTCCTTCCTTCCCGCAGATCGTGGACGGCAAGCTGTGGTTCCAGCTGGACTGCGGCAGCGGCCCTGGCATCTTGGGGATCTCGGGTCGCACTGTCAACGATGGGAGCTGGCACTCGGTCTTCCTGGAGCTCAATCGCAACTTCACCAGCCTGGCCCTGGACGACAGCTACGTGGAGCGGCGCAGGGCGCCCCTCTACTTCCAGACCCTGAGCGCCGAGAGCACCATCTACTTCGGCGCCCTGGTGCAGGCGGACAACGTCCGCGGCCTGGCGGACACGCGGGTCACGCAGGTGCTCAGCGGCTTCCAGGGCTGCCTGGACTCGGTGGTTCTGAACAACGAGCTGCCGCTGCACAACAAGCGCAGCAGCTTCGCCGAGGTCGTGGGCCTGACCGAGCTGAAGCTGGGCTGCGTGCTGTACCCCGACGCGTGCCAGCGCGGCCCCTGTCTGCACGGGGGCAGCTGCACCGGCCTGCCCTCGGGGGGTGAGTGTTCCTGGGGACTGCGCGGGACGGAGGGAGGGAAGGGAACGCACCTGCCCTGTGGGGACCCCGGAGGGTCTCATGGCCGCAACCCACCTGGAGCCCTCCTGCTAGGAGCACTCACACTCAAGATGCATGCGCAGGTTTAAAGGCTTGGCGATTACAGGAGTGTCCAGCTGAGCCAATCATTTCCAACATCCCACAGACCCAGGAGGCCACAGATGGCATCAGCTGTGCCCCCTCCCTGCAACCTTACACCCTTCCAGACTAACAGGACTTCCTTTTAAGTTGTGCTAGGCAGCAGGTGAGTTATGACATCAGTGCCCCATCCTCCCACTGATTGGAATTGCTGACCAGGCTTGGGCATAATTTTGCTAGAAGTTAAAAGGGGGGAAACTGCCACCCCAGGAACAGAATTATAGTGGAAGCCTTGAGCGTGATTTTCAAACCGATGTGTTAAAAATAACTCTAGTGACAGCTTTATAAAGGAGTAGGAAGTCAAGAATAAGGAGAATGAAATTTATGTGGACTATCAGAAGGGATAGCAGTCAAAGATAGCATGATGTTTTACCCCAACACTTTTTCTCCCAAAGGTACATCATGAAGAAAAGAGAGGAGAGAGAGAGACAGAGAGAGAGAGAGAGAGAGAGAGAGAGAGAGAGAGAGAGAGAGAGAGAGAGAGAGAGAGGAGAGAGATTTATAGAGTGTTCTTATTGTTTGAGGAAAAAGCCAAGATTATTTAAGACCAGGAGGGAATCCCTGACTTCACCCATATGCAATGTCTGTTAAGGTAAAGTAGGGTAGGCCTCCTCCTGGCTGAGACTTGCCACCTCCCAGCAGCCCCACTGCTGATTCCACTCCAGCCCCTTCCCAGAGTTGCTCAGCAGTTGTGTGATTAGCAAATTTAAACCTTCCTCACAAATCACTTAAAAGATTCTGTGTGCATTACCATCTAATGTTTGGGAAGCCCAACTTCAAATTCAGAGTCCATTTTATTATAAGAATGTTATAAACTGTCCGTGAAATGATGCAGTGCTGAAGTACAGACACCAAAGTTATTTAGACTTGCATATGTTACTGCCACAATGAGGGCCAAGTACCCTGGGGGGAAATTTCTGCCGTCTCGATTTAAGAAATCTATTTGCTGTTTTTACTGTCTCAGAAGTATATGTAAATAAAGGGCTGTTATGGTGCCATAATTCCCAAATGATGGGCAGTAACTATACTTCAGTGGTCCTGTAAACCAGCCCATTATGACAAGTCATGGCCAGTTTTTCACCAGGCAAAACAATTCTGCTAGTGTGAGCCATCTACGATATATAAAAGGAGCATATAATTAAATTGGGTTGAAATAGAACACCACTCCATGTCAAATCCTGGGTACACAGCCACAAATTGTAACATACTTTTAAGGATGGCAGGATGTTGTTTTTGCTGGCAAAGCTATGGGTTTCCACAATGGGCTATCTTTAAAATAATAATAATAGTCACTGAAGGAAGGGGGAGACCATGGACTCTTACTCTGCAGTGTGCATTTTATTTTGTTTTTATTGCAGAGAAATCCTTTAGCTAAGTATTCAGTGCAGGTATGTTAATTAAGTGATTAGGACCCATATGAGAAACAGCAATTTTCTCTCTTTTTTTAAAGCTCTTTTGGTTTAACCAAATTTTAGTATGAAGGACCCCTTGCCCTGTAATTTCTACATGGCTTTAAAAATGTGCCTTACCCTCCCTGAGAGCCAGCCTTGCTGTCTCCCCTGCTCTTCACTTCATTCTGTGACTGGGCTTGGGACTTGGACTCCACAACCGGTTCTCTTTCTAACAAGGTCAGGAAGCCTCTTACCAGTTCAAGTCTCCCCTGGGTTATGATTTCCTACAGTGAAGAGCGCGTCTTTCCTCACCTCTGTCCACTCAACTCCCTCCTCTCAGGTTCACTACTTACTCTGCTTAGTACAGAGGGGTGCCCAGGAGCAGCCCTCCTACCAAGGCTACTCTCAAGCCTAGTCCCATGGTTCTTTCCTCAGTAGCCCCTGGAGTCTGGTCCCATATGGAGCAATCTGAGGCTCTCCTGCACAGCAAATACTGAGCCCACAGTGAGCAAACTCCTTGTAACTCACCAGGAAATTTAAGAGGACTCCTATGGCTTTCCAGGGAACCAGAGGTACAGGACTCCTATTCTGATGTGTGAGGAGGAAGCTACCTGCTTCCCACCTGTCAAGATGAGGCCTTGGCCTCTAAGAAAAGAGGAGAGAATCTATTTTCTTGCCCTTGTTGTCTGTTCATGTCCCAGGAATTTTTGCCAGGTTCTTGTATTCTATCTTCAGATTCTCGCCAAATAGAGGAGGGGGGAAAAGCAAGAAAACAAACAACCAACAATTTGACCTTTACTTCATATCTATGAAACTGTGTAGCTACTTATAAGGTTACTTAAAAGAAAAGAAAAATCTTCTTAGCTATGGGTGGTAGTTTTTTAAAGACCAGTGAGACGGGGTCTTTACTGAGAGAATAGTCATGCCAGAAAGGTCTAACCATAAAGACAAGCAGTTGTGGAACCCAGATGAAAACTAAGATGAGTGCAGTATTCAAAGGAGAAAGTTGGCTTAGAGAAAGTAGAATGAGGTTCTTAAGGGACATCCTTGTGTGTGACAGTGCTAATGGCACAAGTTATTATTTGAACATTTTTCTGTTGTTTGGACCCTGTGTTGTGTGTTACTCTAAAATTCCAGGACACATATTTTAGCATAGTCATTCCCTTGACCAAGAATACTGGAATATTGGTCGTTGGATCTCATGATGACAGACTCCACTCTCAAACTGTGATTGTCTTAGCACATTGTTCCAGAACATTCATAATCTTTAAAGCAGCAACCCACAAAAAGGAGCATTTTCTTTCAGTGTTCTGCTCTAACCTCCTCTAACCCAACCAAACTCTTGGCGTGCAGGTCAGGGAGCCTCATGTACTGCCCTGGAATGACATGGTCAGCTGTTCTGACCAATGTTGTAACTCTGGCTACCCTAAAGCAAGCCATAGGAACCCCAGGGGAAGCAAAGCCCAGAATGCTGACTTGTAATAAGAGTGTAAATATGACTCTATAAATCAACCACAGAGGGAAGGCTCTCTCCTGGTAATGTCTTAAAATTATATGTATTTCAAAAACATGAACTCGAAATAGCAACCATCATGGAGAAGAAGTGGCCAGGGCCTGTTCTGACCCTTACATACTCAGACCCAGTGGGTAGGGAATAGCTCAGTGATCACCCACAGCCTGGATAAGGAGTGCTCAATCCTCCATGCCTATCATGTTCAGGCTCAGAGGGAAAACACAGTTGAGGCTAAGCTATCATTTGGTGAAGCAATCCAGCAAGTTGGGCAGTCACTAAGCCAGAAATAGTTATTCAGACAGCTTTGAATGAGTCTAGAAGCCTAACTCGTGAAATGAAAAGTTGGGAAAACTTTTAGTAGTGACAGATACCATTTGTTAGACCTTTGGTACCTAAGTGCTTACCTTGCAAATGCTTCTGCACTGGGAAGTTTAATTCCCACAATACTCTGGGAAGTGCACTATTCTCCCTTTTACCTACCCACTCCCACTTTACAAGTTCAGAACAGGCAGAGACATTAAGTAACTAGCTATGCATACCACAGTAGGTGAAGTGGTGAAGCCAGGACTTGACCTAGGTTTGTAGAACTCCCAGCCCAAGTTCTTATGCCTTTTACTCCAAATGTGTTCCAGAGACCAGCAGCATCAGGATCACTGGGAATGTCAGCAAGGAAACATCTCAGATCCCACCCCAAGTCCACCCAATCAATCTGTATTTCAACCAACTTGCTAGGGGATTAAGTGATTTCTCTCCCGGCCCTAAATTACACTGGTACATGGGAAATCTTTTTTTTTTTTTTCTCATACTGTAGACAGTGGTTCTCAGACTCTGAGATGCATCAGATCACCTAGGGACCTTGGTAAACTAGACCTTGGATTGTTCATTAAAAAGGAAAGCTAGCTACCATCCTTTGCCCCCATGCCAAAAGAACCTTCTGTGAGGTAACTGAACTGCATTTGCAAATTCCTGAACTTACTGCCAAGAAAAGTTCCAGGAGGAGAAGGACCCAAATCTTGAAAGTAAGAATCTACTTTCAAGGGGAAAATTCAGGCGTATCTACTCTTAACAAGCCTCCTACATGGGTTCTATGCACATACAAGTTTGAGAACCACTGACTTTTGGGAATTGTAGTACCTCCGTATTTGCAGGAATGGTAGGCAGTGAGTTCCAAGAAAGGTGAAGAGATATAGAACATTCAGGAATTAAAGTCAGATGAACAACCTGCAGTTTTTAAACTGCTTTAGTACAAAGATGGAGTACCATTTCTCTGTCATGAATGTTGTGCTACCCTGAGCTCTTCTTCAAAGATAGAATTAATAGGTGTCTAGCCAGTGCCAGTTAAGCAGTCATGAATACGCTATTCTGCCTGTCAAGTTGCATGATATGCGTTCTTGGATGTTGTGAACAGTTTTCTGTTGTTGTTTTTGGCAACTTTTTGTACTTTGTGTCCCTCGCTTGTAAGGGTCTCACTAAGTCCAGTACATCAAGTCTAAGAGCCTGCATTGCACTGACCTCCGTGTTGAATTCTGAGTCCCTCCTTGTGTGGTCTCCCTCCCTGCCACACAGCAGAAATAGGAAAACCGAACAGGGTCCCTATGTGCTTTGCCATCTGAGCAAGGGCATAGGAAGAGAGAAAGCCAGACTGCCAGGGAATACATTGTGGAGAGAAATTTGGTGATATTTTTTTTCTTTTCTGATGACTTTCTTATAAATATTGAGTTACTCTATTTTTGTGATTGTTCTTTTGTACCTTGGGAAACCCTGACAATGACAGCATTAATAATTATAACTACTAATAGAAAAACTCTAAAAAAAGGTTAGGTACAGGCACAGAAGAACACACTAGAAGATAGAAATTATAGCATGCCTACACATTAAAAGTTTCCAGATCCTCAAGAAAA